TAGCAACGAGGGGGAGAGTATGTCTACGTACCCTCGTAAACCGTAAGCGGAAGCGTTTCACAACACGGTCGATGTAGTCGAACTTTCTTCGCGCTCCAACCGATCTAGTATGGAACGCATGACACCTCCCCGTTCTGCACACGTTCAGCTCAGTGACGTCCTCCGCCTTCTTGATCCAGCAAGACGACGAGGTAGTAGATGAGTTCCGACAGCACGATGACGTGGTGACGATGATGGTGATGTGTTCTCCACAGGGCTTCGCATAAGCACTACGAAAATATGACCGAGGGAGTAAACGGTGGACGGGGGCGCCACACACAACTAAGACAATGGTGTGTGTGTGTGCTTGTGTGGCGCCCCTACCCATGTATATATAGGTGGGAGGGGAGGAGGCAGCCCCTAGGGCGCCCCAAGAGACCTAGCGGCAGCCCTAGGGCTGCTGCCTTGCCCTGTGCCCCCCTTCCTTGTAAGAAGAATGGGGAAGGAAAGAGGGGGGAGAGCGACTCTTGGCCCATAAGGCCCATATCTTTGCCGGGGGGTGCTCAAAACTCCTTTTCGGTGACCCGATAATTACCCGGTACCCTCCGAAACACTTCCGGTGTCCGAATACCATTGTCCTATATATCAATCTTTATCTCTCAACCATTTCGAGACTGCTCGTCGTGTCCGTGATCTCATCTGATACTCCGAACAACATTCGGTCACCAAATCACATAACTCATATAATACTATATCGTCAACGAACGTTAAGCGTGCGGACCCTACGGGTTCAAGAACTATGTAGACATGACCGAGACACCTCTACGGTCAATAATCAATAGCGGAACCTGAATGCCCATATTGGCTCCTACATATTCTACGAAGATCTTTATCGGTCGAACCGTTATGACAACATACGTAATTCCCTTTGTCCATCGGTATGTTACTTGCCCGAGATTCGATCGTCGGTATCTTCATATCTAGTTCAATCTCGTTACTAGCAATTCTCTTTACTCGTTCCGTAATACATCACCTCGTGACTAACTCCTTAGTCGTTTGCTTGCAAGCTTATGATGTGTATTACCGAGAGGGCCCAGAGATACCTCTCCGATACTCGGAGTGACAAATCCTAATCACGATCTATGCCAACTCAACAAACACCTTCGGAGATACCTGTAGAGCATATTTATAATCATCCAGTTACGTTATGATGTTTGATAGCACATAAGGCATTCCTCCGGTATCCGGGAGTTGCATAATCTCATAGTTGAAGGAATATGTATTTGGCATGAATAAAGCAATAGCAACAAAACTGAACGATCATTATGCTAAGCTAACGAATGGGTCTGTCCATCACATCATTCTCCTAATGATGTGATCCCATTCATCAAATGACAACTCATGTCCATGGTTAGGAAACCTTAACCATCTTTGATCAACGAGCTAGTCAAGTAGAGGCTCACTAGGGACACGGTGTTTGTTTATGTATTCACACATGTATTTAGGTTTCTGATCAATACAAATTAGCATGAATAATAAACCTTTATCATGAATAAGGAAATATAAAATAACAACTTTATTATTGCCTCTAGTGCATATTTCCTTCAACTGCAGTGCTGGAGACTTCTTCTTCTGCTCGACGGAGGCCATGGCGGGTGTTGTACAAGCAGGAGATGGAGAGCGGAGATGAGGTGCGATTCTTGCCCGAGGTTTGGCCCCGTTTATATAGCGGGTGGATGCGAGGAGCCGACCGGAGAGGTGTTTAATGTCGGCTGGCACATGAACAGGCGTGTGGTGCTTGAGGCGCCATAGTAGGTTCCTCAGCACTCTCGCCATTTTAACGGAGTTAGGCAGGCAGACAGATGTCGTTTCAATGCGGAGAGAAGACGTGCACAGTGGGCGAGCAGCGGGCGGCACTCTTGGCTGGTGAGCCGTTTCAATGCCGGCTCAAGTGAGCGGTCGTGTCTGCTCTAGGCCGACCTGAATGCGGACAACTGGCTTCAGGAGGGAAAGCATGTGGGCAAGGGAGAGGGGTTTTTGGTGGCCCACGGCGGTTAGAACTGGGATGGCAGCGGTCCGGATGCCCACAAACCCCTCTCCCGGTTTTTTCTGATTTGCAGGGGAAAGCACGTTCGAACCGGTCGGCGGACGGATACAAGACTGCGTTGGATGGGAAAACACGTCCGGACTACATGGTTCAGATGGTTGTGGGTGTTTTGAGGGGCGCTCTAATCATCTTAGTGTTGAGCACATCCCTATTACAGTTACACCCCTCAGCCCCCACGACCATGCCAAGTTAAGTTCAGATGACTAGAGCTTGCACACGCCAACTCAAATACAAGGTACTTCCATTTATATGGATTCTTGCAAGTGCTATGACAATATGATGGTGCCTAAGTAGGATATATTTGTATACTTGAGAATGAAGGACCAAGTATGGACAAGCGGGACATACATGATAGTATGATCAAGTCTGGATATAGCAACAATGGTAGAAGGAGAAAACCCAATTAGCAAGTAGAGATTTCATGACTTTGAAGCTACTATGATGGCAAGTGAAGAAATATACATGATGACCTTTTATAACTTTGTCTATATCCATGTATAGGTGTTGCGCTACCTAGTTTTGTGCCATGCCCATGTACTTCTAGACTAAAAGACTATCTGCAATTTTTTTGAGAGTCTTTATTAAGGGATGATACAAACTTAAGGTTGGATCACCCCACCATGGGTTGGTTGAGCTCATCATTTGTACCTCCTGAAATACCTCCCCGAGGGCGTCACATTAGGGTTTGGGTTATTTGACTAAATTTTAACATTTCGTAGTTGTCGTAGACGTGAGAGACAGCTAGACCTCCTTTACTATGCGTCATCGGAACCTCATTGTGTTAATTAAGTATTTCATCTTATATCAGTAATTCAGATTGCATATCTTTAATTCTTGCCTATTCTTCAGTTGCATACAATGATTCATCTTTGTCATCAGGCTCACCATGTTTCCAACACCATCAATAGTCGTACAAGAGTTGGTTTAGTGATTGCTAAGGTGCACCGCCGAGTGTTTGATGTATTCGGATTGCCAAAAAATTCCCGCAAAAAAATCCATATCATCTCATCGAAAGATCGGGCCATTGTACCTATCACTTGGTGATTCCCGATGACAAGATCTTAGATCTATTAACCAAACCACTAGTATAAACACCTCTCGAATATAACATGGCCACAGAACTAACCTAGGCCATTGATGGTTGACAGTTGCAGCGCTAGACCCCGGGCAACTGGGGTCGTGGCCTGGGGCACGCCCTCTCGTTCTTTCGTTCACTATAGATACAATAACATAATTTGCTACTGTTTGGGACTGTAGCTCTGTTCTTCGCCGAGGGCATTCCTCTGGCCTGGCACCACTACTGGTGGTTGATCTCCTTGATCAGATGGAACACCATTGTCCATGTAGCCCTCTCTGATTGATCGCCTCCTGCTATCAAGAAAGAGAAGAAGATATCTTGTATGACACTAAAATGGAAATGAAAAGGAAGAGTATCCCCTATAAGTGTTGCAATCTGCCAAGCGTGGTGCTTCTTTCTTCCTCCTGCCACTTCATTGTGCTTGGAAAGAGAGCATAATTTTGAGCATCAGCTTCAAGGCGAGAGCGGGAGGTGTTCTAGCAATCATCAAGGAAAAACCAACATAATCATTGGGATCAAACCGACAACGTAGGCTCAGGGGCTTTGATCTCAAGATCAGATGATGTAACCAATAGTTTTTCACATTTTTAAATCTCTTAACCCCCCTGTGGATCTCATTTGTTTTATTTTCAGGGTTGGGTTTGTAGTAATAACATGTTATGTTGCTTCATAAAAAATGCAATCTGGTTACTTTGATTTATGATTCATTCCAGTTATGCTCGTGGAACTTAGACTTTCTCCCTTTTACGGATCACACTGAAGCATAAAATTGGCATCAATAGAAACTGCGTTGGCAACCGATAAATTATCACTCGTATGTTGAAACTTGGCAAATTGAAACCATGAGTTGACTTTCATTTTTTGAAAGTGATGCCTAGAGATGTGGAAGTTTTGGGTTGTAGACCGAGTTTCTTTACCAAGGGGTCTGAATTATCATTATCGAATATACCACTCTTTTATTGGATGTTAAAATTTTGATTTTGAATTTTTAAAAGTTGACCAAAGAATGGGAATCACATCTATGCAACTCTAGTATATTGATCCACTAGGAGAGCATCGTGCATACTTTGGAGGGGGTCTTGGGTTTGAATACCTTCCATGAAACAAATGCACTAGGAATGGAGCACTCCGGCTAGAGGGTAGGGGGCACGATTTTCGTGTTTGTTAGGACGCGATCTAGGCCCGGTGCCCACACATGTGGTTGCCTTTTCTTGCTCACCTTTCAATTTTTCTCTCCTAGGTAGGGTCCACACCCACATGGACTTTGGTTTTCCTCGGTTTTTCCCATGAATCTCTAAAATTCTTGAAAGTTTAAAATTTTCGAAGGTCGACATTTTTTGAAAGTTTAAAGTTCAAATTTCAACAGATTAACTATCAAAAAAGTTGAAATTTCCAAGTTTCCAGAAATCTGAAAAGTTTCAATTTCTGAAAGCTCGGGCAAGAATTTCCAAAGTTCCGTAATGTAATTTCAGAAAAGAAAGTTTGAATTTCCATTTGGGTTATCGAAATTGACCACACCGTTGCTGCCTGGGGGGCGCCCGCTAGATAGCCCTACCGTAGTGTAACTAGCAAATATGCCATGCCATCCTCCCGGAGCTACATTTTTTTTGAGGGACCCAGACCTACATTTTTATTTGGTTCTTTCATGAGCTTGGAAATAACAAGTAGATAAATAGTCATAAACATTGACACGGCCTGCCCAACTAATACTCTGGTGATCTCATCAATAATGCCATTGTAAACATAAAGCCAGATGTAGAACCGGCCTGCTTGCCCCGCCTGAGGCCTGCGCTGCCGTCGCCTGCCTATATAACAGAGGACAGGCGCACACGTCCCATGCCAGCTTCCAGATACCAGCACAGAAGAAGCTCATACACAAAATCCTCTCTTCTTCCTCCTCGTTGGCTCGTCTCTGCAGCGCCATCATTCCCCAAGATGTTGATGCTAAGGGCAGCGCCGATGTCCTACGCCAAGGTGGACAAGGTGGACGCCGAGGAGGCGCGGCACTGGAAGGCGCAGTTCCTGATCCACAAGGCGCTCGAGACGGGGCCGACTAGGCGGCCGCCGGCGGCGGCGCCATTGGCGAGGGCTGGCGGCTGCAGGGTCGTCAGGGCGGTGAGGATCGGCATCCGGCTCAAGAGGCTCAGGATCGCCGTCCGGAGCTTCAGGCTGCGCGTCTGCCGGAGCGTCCTCAAGCACCTCAAGAATCTCAGGAGGCTCGGGTCTCCTCGTTCTTGATCCCCTCGATCTCCTCCTTCTGAAAGAGTTTTTTATGTGTCAGGGAAACTAAGCTGCCTTCTACTTCTATCATACGCAATAGCTAACAACAACTTCTGCCCTTGATATGCCGAGAAGATTTGGGCGCGCGCGCGTGTGTGTGGATGCATAGTATAGTACAGTATGTAATCTGTAAATGGAGCAGATCAGCAATGTTGGCTCCTGTTTCAGGCTTCCTTTTTCTCTGGGATCCTATCCTATCTTGTTGGTCACTGACAGCTGATGAAACTCTTCAGTTATGTATATGCAGCATATCCGTGTTGAATTGTTGAGTCATTGAGATGCTAAATCCACTGCTGCACCGATGAGTTTTGGATCTTATGTTTCGAGAAGTAAGTCCGGAATCCTTTTAATTTTTTTTCCTTTTGTTTTTGTTCTGCAAGATCTCTAGAGAAAACGGCTACAGCAATCCACGATTAGCTTACCTACCACCTGCTGGGTAGGAGGACATGTGTTTTGCGTCAGCCCGGCTACAGCAAAACGAAAAGAGAGTGACGAAAGGTCATGCATTGTTAATGGTGGATGAGAAAGTAGATTTGGGATCTAACTCATGCTGCCAGTTTGTCCTTAGTCGAGTATGAAGTTGAACTGCATGTGCAGGGGTGCTTGCGTCCCTATTCGAGAAAATTCCTTTACAAAACCGCGATACACTGCTTTACAAACATTAAAATTTGGTTTGGAAAACAACAACTGGAGCTTCGTTTCCTTTCCTTTGCGGTTAGCTAATAGGTAGTGAAAAATGAGTTGCAAAAAACCAAAGACGATCAAGATTTTTCTGATCTGTAAATCGACGGGGCAAGCAAAATGGACTAACAAACACTGCATGAAAAGCTGTCATCGATACTCTGAGGTTGAAAGAAACGCTTGAAAATAAGCTGAACCTACCAAGTAAACGAGCGCTTGAATTAGAATCATAAGTCGTAGTCGAATACATTGCTGACATATGGCATCAAGCTGCTAATTTTACTCACAGACATGTCATCCTCACGCAGAATGGATCAAATGTCAGGTGACATCAGGGGCGTCTTCCAGCACTAAACAAAATTCAGCATCCGCTCAGCAACTGCCACCAAAGGTCAACATTGCTGTCAATGAATAGATTAGAAATCCTTGCATAGAGGAAGGATTTGAAATTGCCTGCCAACGAAAAGAACTTCTTCTCTTTCGTTCATTTTTTTTATTTTTTTTAGAAAAGGGGGGACTCCCCGGCCTCTGCATCAGAACGATGCATACGGCCACTTAAATAAATAAAAATGTTCAACAAAGTCATAGAGTCTTGAAATAAAATGAAGGCGAGCTCACATAGAGCCTCGACGCTAAAACAAGAAAAGGCCATCAAGCCACAACCGGCAGGCAAAATAAAGATAGGAAAACTAATTGCCTATCCTATTACATGACCGCCATCCGAACCGGTTGAAGATATCCCGCGCTACCATCTCCCAACGGACAGATCCAGTAACCAAACGCTCACTGGCCTCCGTCGGAGTGAGTAAGGACCACATACGGATCAGCGCCGTAGCACGGAATACAACCTGCAAAAAATGAATAGTAGTTATTCTGTTAAAAGCTAAATCATTTCTGCAGTTCCAAATTGCCCATAACAACGCACAAACTCCTACACGAATATGTCTAGCTATATCGGACTCTATCCCATCCAGCCACGTTCCAAATAATGACCCGACCGAACTCGGAGGAGTAATGTTAAAGGCAATTTGCACGGTGCGCCACAGAATTCTCACCAATGGACACTCAAAGAAGAGATGCTTAATGGTCTCGTCATGATCACAGAAACTACACCTAGTAGATCCTGTCCAATTGCGCTTAACCAAGTTGTCCTTTATTAAAATAACCTGTTTATGAACAAACCACATAAACACTTTAATTTTTAAAGGAACTTTTACTTTCCAAACATATTTGGAACTAGGAATGACAGTCGAGTTAATAACATCGATGTACATCGACTTAACAGTAAATTGTCCAGACCTAGTAAGTTTCCAACACAACTGGTCGGGCTGATGAGCTAGCTGGACTTCCATCAGTCTACGCACCAGATGAAGCCAAGCTTCCCATCTATCACCAACAAGCACCCTCCGAAATTGAATATTAAGTGGAATGGACTGCATGACCGTTGCAACTAACTCATCCCGTCGCTGGACAATACGATACAGGGTTGGGTACTATATTGCCAATGGTGTATCATCCAGCCAAGTATCCTCCCAGAACCGTGTATCATTGCCATCACCGACAATAAACTTTGTTCTATTAAAGAAGGCTGCCTTAACTCTTATAAGCCCCTTCCAAAACGGCGAATCAGTTGGTCTCACTGTCACCTGAGACAAGGTTTTGGAATGCAGATACTTGTTGCGGAGAATCTGCGCCCAAGTTGCGTCAGTCTGAACTGAAAGCTTATTCAGCCACTTGCTAAGCAGGCATCTGTTCTTGACCTCAAGATTCTTGATACCCAAACCCCCTTGGTCCTTTGGTCGACAAATAACATCCCACTTGGCGAGTCTATACTTTCTCTTAAGTTCATCACTCTGCCAAAAAAATCTCGATCGGTAGAAGTCCAGCCTTTTCCTAACCCCAACTGGAACTTCAAAGAAAGATAGTAGGAACATCGGCATACTCGTAAGCACCGAATTAATAAGAATTAACCGGCCTCCATATGACATAAGTTTGCCCTTCCAGCAACTAAGTTTCTTTTCAAACCGATCTTCAATGCATTTCCACTCTTTGTTCGTTAGTTTACGATGGTGAATGGGTATACCTAAGTAAGTAAAAGGTATAGCCCCTAATTCACATCCAAACAATTGCCTATAAGCCTCTTGTTCCTTATTGGCTCTACCAAAGCAGAACAACTCACTTTTATGAAAGTTAATCTTTAACCCGGTCAATTGTTCAAATAAGCATAACACCAGCTTCATATTTCTCGCTTTTGCCAGGTCATTCTCCATAAAGATGATTGTATCATCAGCGTACTGCAGAATGGACACACCCCCATCAACTAGGTTTGGCACCAAGGCACCCACCTGACCGGCCTCCTTTGCCCTACCTATGAGAATTGCCAACATGTCAACCACAATGTTGAACAAAATAGGGGACATTGGATCTCCTTGCCTCAGGCCTTTGTGTGTCTGGAAATAATGCCCTATATCATCATTTACTTTAATTCCAACACTTCCTTTTTGTGTGAAGGATTCTACCTGGCGTCGCCAAGCCTCATCAAAACCCTTCATACGTAAGGCCTGTTGAAGGAATGGCCATTTGACTTTGTCATACGCTTTTTCGAAATCCACTTTGAAAACAACCCCATCCAGCTTTTTCGTGTGGATTTCATGGAGCGTTTCATGAAGGACCACTACCCCCTCAAGGATATTCCTATCCGGCATGAAAGCAGTTTGGGTAGGCTGCACAACAGCATGTGCGATCTGTGTGAGCCTATTGGTCCCGACCTTGGTGAAAATTTTGAAACTAACATTAAGAAGACAGATTGGCCTGAATTGCTCAATTCTCACAGCCTCTGTTTTCTTAGGAAGAAGGGTGATCGTTCCAAAATTGAGCTGAAAAAGATGAAGCTGTCCAGCAAACAGATCATTGAACAAAGGCAACAAATCCCCTTTAATGATATGCCAACATTTCTTATAGAACTCCGCTGGAAATCCATCGGGGCCCGGCGCCTTGTTATTTTTCATTTGCGAAATGGCCTCCAGAACCTCTTTCTCGGAGAAAGGAGCCGTAAGAATATCATTCTCCACCGCTGTGAGCTGAGGAACATCCTCAACCCTGGACTCATCCAGAGACACACAGTTCTTTTCTGGAGGACCAAACAGCTGCTTATAGTACTCGGTGATGTACAATTTTAGGTTTTTCTGTCCTACAATTGTACCCTCATCTTGCTCAAGCTGAAAGATCTTCTTCTTTCGATGCTTACCATTAGCGATCATGTGAAAGAATTGAGTGTTCGCATCCCCCTGGACTACTCGCCGGACCTTGGCCCGCAATGCCCACTTCAACTCTTCTTCCCTAAGAAGTTCTTTCAGCCGCAGTTCCGCGTCAAGCTTGGCATGAAGCTCCGCGGCCGGCAGTATCGTTGTTTCTGCTTTTAAATCCAGGGACTGAATAAGGGAAAGGAGCCTTTCCTTTTCGACCTTATAAATCCCGCTAAGATGCTTAGCCCATCCACGCAGGAAACTCCTCAAATGTCTAATCTTATTCTGCTAGCGCTGAAGCGCAGTCTTCCCTCCTGAATCCTTAGCCCACTCTCTAGCCACAAGATCAAGGAAGCCTTCACGTTCAAACCAAGCCATCGCAAAGGAGAACACATTCTTGTTCCCCAGGTGGGAGGGCTCACCAGAGTCCACAAATAACGGCGTGTGGTCAGAAATACCGCGGGTCAAGGCCTGGACTGTTACTAGAGGGAACTTCTGTTCCCAATCGACACTGGCCAACACTCGATCCAACTTCTCATACGTCGGATTTGGCAGCGCGTTAGCCCAGGTGAATTTTCTACCCGAGAGCTCAATTTCTTTCAGGTTCAAACTTTCAATAATCGTATTGAACATGAACGACCATCTGCCATCAAAGTTGTCATTGTTCTTATCCTCACGCCTTCTAATAATATTGAAATCACCCCCCACCAGGATAGGCAACTTCTCGGAACCACAAATCCGAACGAGATCAGACAAGAACTCGGGCTTGAGCTCGGGCTGCGCAGCCCCATATACCGCAACCAGGGCCCAATTAAACCCATCTTCCTTCGACCGTACCCGGAACTTGACTGCAAAGTCACCCATAATCACACTGCGAACCTCAAGCGTTTCGCACCTAACGCCGAGTAAGATTCCACCCGATCTCCCTCTCGGCGGCAAGCAATGCCAATCAAAATCTATACCCCCTGACAGAGTACTTAGAAATTGAGGCGCAAAGTTATCTCTATCCGTCTCCGATAGAGCGATAAAATC